GTTACCCATGATCTCTGAGAAACTACGTGGGACATCCTCAAACTGTATTTGGATAGCCCGTTTTGAGAAGTCAGTACTAATTGTTATGCAAAATTAGCAAACTGCCAGGAGAACAGAGCCCTGAATCCTGGTGGTGATTTTAAAAAAGAATCCATAGGTCTTTTTTTTTTTTTTAAATATATTTTATTGATTTTTCACAGAGAGGAAGGGAGAGAGATAGAAACGTCGATGAGAGAGAAACATCGACCAGTTGCCTCTTGCACACTCCCTACTGGGGATGTGCCTGCAACCAAGGTACATGCCCTTGACCGGAATCGAACCCGGGACCTTTCAGTCCGCAGACTGACGCTCTACCACTGAGCCAAACCGGCTTCGGCCAATAGGTCTTTTTTTCTTTTTTAATAAGAGAAGGTTTACTTAGAAAGTCAGAGGTAGAAGAAGTGAGCCAGAGAAGAAGTGGGCTTAGGAAACAAGTTACAGAGGAAAAGAAGGGGCCCTGGAGCTTAGGAGAGAGAAGGGTAACGGTGTGACTGAGGGGAAGCAGAAGGGGGCAGGTGTGCTCTGAGAGAGAGTCCTTCTTTTATAAAAGTTTACTTTTATTCATTTATTTTTTTATTTTTTCTAAATAGATTTGGATTTTTTACAGAGAGGAAGGGAGAGAGAGAGTTAGAAATATCGATGAGAGACGGGACCGGTTTGGCTCAGTGGATAGAGCATCGCCTGCAGACTGAAAGGTCCCAGGTTCGATTCCGGTCAAGGGCATGTACCTTGGTTGCGGGCACATCCCCAGTGGGTGGTGTGCAAGAGGCAGCTGATCGATGATTCTCTCTCATCAATGTTTCTGACTCTCTATCCCTCTCTCTTCCTCTCTGTGAAAAATCAATAAAAAAATATTTAAAAAATAAAAAGAAAGAAAGAAATATTAATGAGAGAGAAACATCAATCAGCTGCCTCCTGCATACCCCCTACTAGGGTTGTGCCCACACCAAGGTGCATGTCTTTGATTGGAATTGAACCCGGGACCCTTGAGTCCGCAGGCAGACACTCTATCCACTGAGCCAAACTGGTTAGGGCTATTCATTTATTTTCATTCCATTTTATTTTATTTTTCCATCACCATTTATTTGCCAGATTTCTTAAATCCACCATTGGCCTGGGTGCCCTTCCCTGTGGCCTTCACTTTTAGCTCCTTGAGTTTCTCTTGCTCCTCTTTATTTATTTTTAATATATATTTTATTGACTTTTTACAGAGAGGAAGGGAGAGAGAAAGTCAGAAACATCTATAAGAGGGAAACATCGATCAGCTGCCTCCTGCACTTGTGTTCCCCCCTCCTCCCCAGGAATGTGCCCACAAACCAAGGTACATGCCCGTGACTGGATTCGAACCTGGGACCTTACTTTTTTTTCTTTTCTTTTTAAATATATTTTATTGATTTTTTACAGAGAGGAAGAGAGAGGGATAGAGAGTTAGAAACATCGATGAGAGAGAATCATCGATCAGCTGCCTCTTGCACACCCCCCACTGGGGATATGCCTGAAACCAAGGTACATGCCCCTGACGGAATTGATCCTGGGACCTTTCAGTCCGCAGGCTGACACTCTGTCCACTGAGCCAAACCCGTTAGGGCGTGCTCCTCTTTATTGCTTCTGTCCAAATGCCTTACCTTCCTCATCCGTCTTCTTGGCCTGCTTCTTGGGCTGGGGGCTTCTTATTCTTTTTTTAATATTTTAAAAAATTGATTTCAGACCAGAAGGGAGAGGAAGAGAGAGCTAGAAACATCAATGATGAGAAAGAATCATTGATCGGCTGCCTCCTGCACACATCCCTACTGAGGATCAAACCTGCAACCCGAGCATATGCCCCGACTGGAAATCAAACCAGTGAGCTTAATTGCTGGCTGGACCCAAGACCCTTCTTGACACCTTCATGACCAGACATGGGCCTACTACCCCTTCCCCAGACCTTGCCACTGGAAGCCGACACATTTCTATTTTTAAGCGTTAGAGGCATAGGTCCAGTCAAACAGGCAACACATTCACAAAATACCCATGATGTGCCAGACTCTTCTGAGTTACAGCAGTCAAGGAGACTATTTGTCTCTGCCCTCATTGAGTTTATAGTCTGGTAAGGAAGACCAACATCAAACAAAGTGCAAAGTGAAGGAACAGCCTCTCAGATGACACTTAATTTACTGTATCCTATTTCTTGAGGTGGAGTCATCTGCTGGCTAGGGCCCCCAACATCACCTACTACAATGAATCACAGAGAGGAGCTGCTGAGTAAGGACTCTTGTCTGGATAAAGAAAGAAGACTCATATTCCAAGCACAGATTCCCAGCTTCGTATAGATTCTAAACTCAAAATCCTTCCAACAAAGTGATTTTCTGCTTAAATTTATCCAGGGCTAGTTTCTGTCATTTGTAACCAAGAACGCTGGTACAGCAACCATTTCAGACATTTTTATGGACCAGAGAATAAGTCTCCAAAAGACATTTCCAATCCTTCCGCCTCAGGCCTGCAACCAGACTGAAACTTTCCTGATCAAAGCTTCTGTTCAGCACAAAGCAAGGCACACAGGCTGTCTCAATAATATCCGGTTGGCTGAATCACTCAGTAAGCTCATAAATATCTGCCAGGCATTGAGGTTACAAAGCTAGTAAGAGCCAGCTGCAGCTTTCAAAGATGTCCCACATACACCTTAGACCCAACATATTCAAAGCTGAGGGTATCATCTTCCCTGCCTCCTCCCAACTCATGTATCAACTCACGCCGTGTGTCCCATGTTCCAACAACACTCAACTACTTGTCCTTCTCCTTTCTCTGCGCTGGGATGCCAACAGTGAGTAGCTGTTGTTCTTAGACCACAGACGTGAGAGGGAAAGACACAGACAGCGGGCTATCCGGCTGCTGCTTGTAGACAGAGACAAGACCTTGAACGCCAGGTGAAGCATTCTAGATTAACTGGCAGCTATTCCAAGTTACTTTCCTCGGTCTAAATAGAATATCTGTATCGTCTGGCTTTTCCTCTTTTACCAAAGGTACTCTACATGTAAGATGACATAAAGGGTTTACCTGTCCATCATCTTGGCCAGAGAGCGGCAAGCTGCAAGCAATGATCCCATTTTACAGGTAAGCAGACAGAGGCCTTCATGTGTCTTGGCTCTACAGCTAGCAAGTAGCAAAGTAAGAGCTTAAGCAGTTTCCAGACGCCGAATCCCCATTCTTTCCTCTAATACTGCAACTCCTACAGAGTGTTTTGTGCGTGGTGTAAGGAGGCGGCCGCCACGTGGCCTGGCCCTGGGGGAAAATTATCCTCCTTACCCCTGCACCAGGGGCTCTGTTCTGCTGGCCTCCCCTCCTCGCCTAATTCCCTTCTCTAGATACCATTATCTTCTTTAAAAACTCACAATTCGGTGAGGTTTTACTATCCCTTCGTTTTGTAGATGAAACCGAGGCTCAAAAAAGTAAACTGTGTCTCAGTGGGTAGAGCACCCACCTAAGGACCAAAGGGTCCCAGCCCAGGTTCCATCCCAGTCAAGGGCACGGACCTCCGTTGCAGGTTCCTCCCCTCTCAGGCCCTAGTTAGCGCCCGTGCAGGACACAACTAAATCCATGTGTTTCTCTCACATCAATATTTCCCTCTGTCTTTTCCTCTCTCTCCCACTCTCTCTCTAAAAAAAAAAAAAAAAAAAAAAAAAAAAAAAAAAAAAAAAAATCTATGGAAAAATATCCTCGAGTGAGGATTAAAAAGAAAATAAGCTGAAACCGGTTTGGCTCAGTGGATGGAGCGTCGGCCTGCAGGCTGAAAGGTCCCAGGTTCGATTCCAGTCAAGGGCGTGTACCTTGGTTGCAGGCACATCCCCAATGGAGGATGTGCAAGAGGCAGCTGATTGATGTTTCTCTCTCATCGATGTTTCTAACTCTATCCCCCTCTCTTCCTCTCTGTAAAAAAATCAATATTTTAAAAAAATAAAATGACAGCGTAAGAACTGTTGAAAATTATTTTTTAAAAAAAGAAAGAAAAGAAAAGAAGCCGAGACCAGTTTGGCTCAATGGATAGAGCGTCGGCCTGCGGATTGAAGGGTCTTGGATTAGATTCCAGTCAAGGGCATGTACCTTGGTTGCGGGCACATCCCCAGTAGGGGTGGTGCAAGAGGCAGCTGATTGATGATTCTCTCTCATCGATGTTTCTAACTCTCTATCCCTCTCTCTTCCTCTCTGTAAAAAAAACCAATAATATATTTTTAAAAGAAAAGAAAAAAGTGAAGTTTCAGGCTCCAGAGTCCGAAATCTTCACCACTTCGTTTCGCTGGAGTCCAGGTTGCAACCCCTTAACTCCAGAAACGGGTCCGCGGGTGAACAGCAGATGCTGGGGACCAGCCCCCGAGCGGGAGCGCGGGCCGCCAGGGGGCGCGGTGTAGGTGCGAGGCCTCCCCGCCGCGCCCCCCGCGGGCCGGGCGCACCTGAACGCGCTGGGCGAGGCCTGGGAAGCAGCCTCGCGGGGCTGGGCCGGGCGGGGAGCGGCGGGGCGCTGCCCTCGTTCCCAGCCCGGAGTGGGCCGGATCCCCGTCTCTGCGCGGCCCGCCGGGGCCGGCTGGGGCTCGGCCAAGCGTCACGCCCCCGCCGCCGCCGCCCGCCGGGCTGCGGCAGCTCGCCGCCCGCCATGCCCTCCCAGTGTGCCGTGCATTTGTGGGGTCCAGGGGACTCCGGGAGCCGGGGAGACCGGCCCGCAGGGGCGGGGCGGGGACTCCGAGTCCCCACCTGTCGCCTGCTGGGAGGGGGCGAACGGGAGGAGGAGGGGCTTGTCCCGTAGGGCCCGCCCCTGGGTCCCGGAGCCCGGGGCGCGCGACGAGATATAAGGCGCCGGGAAACAATGCGCCTGCATCTCGCGCTCCCGCGCCGCCTCGCCCGGTAGCGTCCGGGCCCCGTGCACGAGCGAGGCAGAGGGGGCGCGCGCGGGGGCGCGCTCCTGGGTGCGGGGCGCGCGCTCGGCGGCGCGCATGTGCTTGTGTGCGGGCTGCCGGGCTGCCCCGCGCCGGCCCCGAGCGGGTCCGCTCCCGGTGGCGGGCGGCCGGAGCGAGGTGAGGCTTGGGGGGCCGCCCCGGGTACGGGCACGGGTCCCCGGGGGGCGAGGGGGCTGCAGACTGCCTTCTGGGCACAGGGCGCCCCCGCCCGGTCCGGCCGGGCCCCGGGAGCTGCGCCCCGGGCGGCGCTGGCAAAGTTTGCTTTGAACTCGCTCCTCTGCAGCCGCGTCCGCGCTCCGGGAGCGGCTTCCCCGGGCTCGCGGACCCGGCACCGGGCTCCCCGGGACGCGAGGGGAGGGCGTGGGTGCCCAGCCCGGAGGTTCGGGCGGGGGAGAGCCTTGCAGCCGGCGGTGCTAGGGAACCCGGGAACGCCTCCCTCCCCGGGCCCCGGGCCCCCATCAGCTCGCGTCCCCCTTCCCCTCTCGCAGGGAGCGGACATGGACTTCGACTCGTACCAGCACTATTTCTACGACTATGACTGCGGGGAGGATTTCTACCGCTCCACGGCGCCCAGCGAGGACATCTGGAAGAAATTCGAGCTGGTGCCGTCGCCTCCCACGTCGCCGCCTTGGGGCTCGGGTCCCGGCGCCGGGGACCCGGCCCCCGGAACTGGTCCCCCGGAGCCGTGGCCCGGAGGGGGCGCCGGGGACGAGGCGGAATCCCGGGGCCACTCCAAAGCTTGGGGCAGGAACTACGCCTCCATCATCCGCCGGGACTGCATGTGGAGCGGCTTCTCGGCCCGGGAGCGGCTGGAGAGGGCGGTGAGCGACCGGCTGGCGGCCCCCGGCGCGCCCCGGGGGAACCCGCCCAAGCTGCCCGCCGCCCCGGACTGCGCTCCCAGCCTCGACATGGGCACCCCGGTGCCCGCCGCCCCCTGTCCGCTGAGCGAGCCCAAGACCCAGGCCTGCTCGGGGTCCGAGAGCCCTAGCGACTCGGGTAAGGACTGCGCCGGGCTGATCAAAGAAGGGGGACGGGGAGGGGAGGAGAGGGGGGGAAACCCCATGGGTGGCCAAAACTCTGCCGCTGCCTGAGGTCTGGCACTGGATCTTCGCTGGCCCTCCGGCCCCCTCCCCCTTCCTCGGGCTGAAGCCGCCCGGGGAGCCCCCCGGCGGTGTCTGTCTGGCACGTGGGTGTGTTAGTAAACAGTTCGAAGAAGTGGCGTGGGAGCCCGCGCTGCTCTGATGGTGATTGGAACCCCAGGGGACCAGGGAGACGGGGTGAGGCTTGGCGAGGACAATGCGGGATTGGACCGGAGGGGATCTCTGTCCTGGGAGGCTGGGAGAGGTCCCTTGAAGGGTCACTGCAGGCTGGAAGTGTTTTGTGGCTGCCTCTTTTCCTGGGAAACCCACACTCCCCTAGGGAGAGAGAGGAAGCTGAGGAGCCTTTTGTGCAGAGCCAAAAGCCTTCCTCCTTTTAAACCCTAGCCTCCTGTCTGCTTTACTTTAAAATGCTCCTGTCCCTTATCATCGGTGCACCCACACCATTACCCACGAGACAGGTAGGGGTGGAGTGAACTCTGACCGTTAACTGATGGGAAAACTGAGGCTTAGAAATAGGAAATCACTAGGAGGGGGCCCCAGCTTCCCTCCATCTCAGCCAGGTACTTCTCGATGTGTAGAGGGTCTTCGTCGTAGTTTATCTGAGAAGGACTGCCCCTTGCCTTGTGGCTTTGGCCTGAGTTGGAAAGGTGTCCCTTTAATTCCCTCCCAACCCATCCTAGAGCTTCGGCTGCCTCCTTGCATTCGAAAAAATGTTCACTGTCCCCTACTTTGTGCCAAACTCTCTAGATGCTGGGGTCAAGGATATGGAACTCCAGGCCCCTTTCCCCTCCGGTGAATGCAAAGTGTAAACCTCACTAAGGGCAGGCCAGCATCCTGTGCCATCAGACAGCTATGTTTTTAGCCTATCCTCTTCTCAAACCTCTGTGTCCATTGGAAATATCGGAGACGGTGCTTTTATAAGATGCAGGACAGAGAAAACCCTGTCATTTTTTTTTTTTTAATTTACCTAATTGTTGAAAGTATTGTGGATGTCCCATTTGTTCACTTTTAAGGATAACTTTGCGTGACTATTTAGCGGGGACTAGGGAATACGGTATGGAAGTCGTCATACACTTGAAGGGAAAAACTGAGGATACTAACAAGAAACATCTTAAAGTGAACTTTTTTTCAGTCCACTGTGTTTAAGGTCATTTTTAACCTGCTTGCTTCCTACCCCAGAAATCTTGTGTTTGTTTAATGGCTGGAAAGGGAATTTGGAGATCAAGAAACCAATAAAGATATATCTCTAGGAAGGCTGATGGGAGTGATAGCGTGGAAAGAGCACTGTTTTGGGAGTTTGAAATCTTACGTGTGAGTTTGGATGATCTAGATCTGTTTCTCCCTTGGCATAGGAGGGGGGTGGCCTTGCTTGTCCAGCTGAGGGCATGTCCTTGTCTGGGGAGAATTAGACACTTCACTCTGAAAACGGGAGTAAGAGTTTTACATTATTTCTCCCCGAGGCCGAGCACTTCCCAGCCACCAGGTTTAACACTGAAATATTCACGTTTGGGATGCGGGGGGAGCCTCCCGAATAATCTCCTGACCTGCCCTTTAACCCGAACCTGTTTGCAAGCTCCTGGTTCACAGGCCACATGGCCCAGAACAAAATGCAACAGATTGCAAACAATGAGGGGGGTGGGGAGAGTGACTGATGGCGAAGCTCAGCCAATCGCGGGGAGGGGCCGGGTAAAACAGCATTCCAAACACAGCCGAGCCAGCCAATCACAGGCCTCGGGGCCAGGAGGGCTGAATGGTCAGGTTTTATTAATGGAGAAGTAATGCGATTGTCCACACAATGGAAGGCTTCCTGACAAAGGGGCTCCAGCTTCCTGATATGCAAAGGAGACGGGGAACTGAGCTCTTCTGTTGTCAGGCAGGAATCCGTTAGGTGGTGGTCTGTGCGGAGGTCTGAAAAACGCGTGGTGGGGCAGGAAGCTTTTCCCCTAATTGCCCCTCTCCTGGTTGGAGTAACCTAAGAGACCTTCAAGCCAGGGGATGATGGGGGCACGTCCAGGTCCCCGGTGATTCAGCCCTTGCATGGGGGGATATTCTGCTGCTCAGTCTTTACCCCTGGCACAGGTAGTGAGGAAACGGTTGTTTGTACCTTTGTGAAGTTCCTGCAGCTTTTTGCTGACCTGCGATTTACAAATCCAACCCTATTCTGGTCCAGCGAAGGGGGTGGGGCCGGCGGCCTATAAATGATGGATGACTTTAGAAACCCGCTGAACCCGATAGCAGAATGCCCCTCACGGAAACCTTCCCTTCCCCTCTGAGCGTGTGGGGAGAGGAGAGGTGCCCGCATGCCCCCCCCCCCTTCCCCGCATCTTCGTCTGAAAGGGATAGTAGAATAGAGAGGTGGGGGAATAATAGGATTTATAACTTGTGAAAAGTAACAATTCCCCAAGTGCAGGCTGTGCTGGGCGGGAACAAAGGGCAACTCTGCCCACAGACCCCTCATTTACAATTCTGATGGGGCATGAAAGAGCCCGACTGCGGAAGATCTTTATAGCTAAACTTTGTCCCAGGCTGATAGCTCTTTCTCTCCATCCTCTCTCGTGGGGGAGGGGAGAGCCCGTGCAGACTGGGGGCTGTTGGCTTGGGCCTGCCTTTTGTTCTTGTCTGAGCCTTGCTGTGCAGAAGGAAATTGGAGAATATTTCCCTTCTCGCGTATTTCCCTTCCCACTGCCCTCACCCCTTTACCAACGAGTCAGCTGTCTTTCCCTTCCCTTCAGGCTGCTTAGATGTCAATTGGGGAAAGGTCGCCGTCCTTTCCCAGCCGAGGGTCCTTGTGTAGGTTTCTCACGGGGTGTGTTTTGTCTCTCCATCTCTCTCTCCGTGGACAGAGGGCGAAGAGATCGATGTGGTGACGGTGGAGAAGAGGCAGTCCCTGAGCGTGCGGAAGCCAGTGACCATCACGGTGCGAGCCGACCCCTTGGACCCCTGCATGAAGCACTTCCACATCTCCATCCACCAGCAGCAGCACAACTACGCCGCCCGTTTCCCCCCCGAAAGCTGTTCCCAGGAAGAAGGGCCTCCGGAGAGAGATCCACAGGAAGAGCCCCCGGAGGGAGATGCTCCGGAGGAGAAGGGAGAGGAGGAGGTGCAGGAAGAGATCGGGAGCGCCCTGCCTGGAGAAAGCGAGGCTCCCCAGCCCTGCCACCCCAGACCCGTCGGCTCTGACACCGAGGATGTGACCAAGAGGAAGAACCACAACTTCCTGGAGCGCAAGAGGCGGAACGACCTCCGGTCGCGGTTCTTGGCCCTGAGGGACCAGGTGCCCACCCTGGCCAGCTGCTCCAAGGCCCCCAAAGTGGTGATCCTGAGCAAGGCGCTGGAATACTTGCAGGCCCTGGTGGGGGCCGAGAAGAGGATGGCCACGGAGAAGAGGCAGCTTCGGTGCCGGCAGCAGCAACTGCAGAAAAGAATCGCGTACCTCAGTGGCTACTAACGGACCCACACGCCTGGGCTGCACTGTCCTGCAGAGACCCGAGTTCATGTTTTGTAACCGTCCCTCTCCGCGTTAGTGATTTGCACATTTTTTGGTTACGGCGGACAGTAGATCCCAGGATGCTTTTCGCAGCTGGTGCACACACAATAAGGGCTTGCGTTCTCGGGAACCTGGGAACCCGGCTCTCCCTCTTCCCTGACTCCTCGGGAGCACCGTGTCCTCTCTGGCGCCTCTGGCTTCGCGGGCAGGCAGCTGACTGAGGAGCCCCGGGGTCTGCCTCGCTCACTGACTCTGAAGAAAAGCCTGACAGATGCTATGCAACAGGTGGTGGACGTCTCCGGGGCCTCCGGCCTGCATGAAATCTCACACTCCGGATGAGCTCTAGGCTGGGAAGGGATGCTCCCACGGGTGTCTCTGGGGTGATGCTGGGACAGCTGGGCCTGGACACGCTCCCCGAGGCTCCTTTTTCCAGGAGACACACGAGCTGTCGGGTGAAGACGAGCTCGCGGACTTGATCAACGCGGACCGTTACCTCACTGTCGGACACTTTACAGTAGCCCAGGAGCTGGAAACCTTTAATATGTACGTATATATTGTTAGATGACACTTCTTCCTCCCGCTCCGAGCTGCAGCCTCGAAAACATTTTAAAGAGCTTGGCCTCTGGGTTATTCTTTGTCTCGAAGCCCTGTGGGCCCTTTCCCCTGAGGGAAAGACCGTTCTGTCCTCAGGAGGGACTTTTTTTGTTTCCTCCTGCCTTCGTCGGCGATGGCTTTCCGGCACCCCTTCCGCCAGAGGTCAGAAATGTTTCCCCAGAATGCGGGGACACGGGTCCCACCTAGGGAAGGCTTGGAGCTCTGGCCGTGAACGTGTTCCCTCCCCGGGTGTCTTCCATCTCGGGATCTTTTCTCAAAGGCGGTGGTCAGGCACGTCAGGAGAGAACCGTACCACTTCCTCCCTCTCGGCTTCCTCTCATCTCAAGCCCTGACGGATACGTTTGAAGTTCTGCTAGATTCTAGTAACGAGAACCATGTAAACCTGTCCTCCTCGTGCAGCCCCAGGGAGCTTGTGCGTCTGCAGCCACCCGTGGGCCACCTGCCAGCCTGACAGGAGTCGGATCCCTGCCTCAGGACGTGGGTCCCTCTGAAGGTCTTCCTGGGAGAGCCGCTGGGACGCAGCCAGGGCTCCAGAAGGCGGCCTGGCCTCCCGGGGGGGAGCTCTGCTTAGCGGGCCGTGGTGCATTTCGCCCCCGCTGGTCTTGGCCCCTCCAAGTGGATTCCAGGGGCAGCCTCCAGGCTGCCGAAGACCACCTAACCCTAGCATGTCTTGTGGGCAAGCTCAGTGGCCCCCAAGCCTGTTCTGGATAAAGGATCAGCCCCCTTCCAGGACTCTGCTGGCTATGGGGGTTGAAAGTGGGGGCGGGAAGGGTGGTTGAGAGCTGCCTGTGGCTCTGGAAAGCCAGCTGCTTCTTCCAAAACCTGTTATGCACACGAGTCTGTTTCTGAGGTTGCTTCATGGCCCCGGAGAACCCCCGTGGAAATTTGGAAAAAGTCTCTCTACCGTTTGGAGCCTGGTTTTCCGGAGCCAAGTGACTCCTGGATCTGTCTTTGGAGAATGGGTGGGAAGTAGGTTACTGATGTCTCACCCGAATAGTTTGTGTTTTATAAGCTGCTGTTGGGTATTATACTGGAGGCAGTTTTTTTTGTTTGTTTGTTTGTTTGTTTGTTTTGTGGGTTGTTTTTTTTTTAATACTGTATTTTTGTATGCCTTTTGCAAAGTGGTGGTGTTTTTTGTACAAGAAAAAAGCTCTTGGGCAATTATCCTGTTGTGAGAGTCTGACTTATTTTGAAAGGCAAGCTTATCGGAAGTGATGTCTTCAGCTGTAATTATTGACGGCCTGATTTTAAAATGTTGCCTTCTGGGACATCTAATAAAAGCTTTCTCAAACGTGTCAGAGTGGGGGCAGCTTCTGCTCGCTGAGTCTCCCTGAACCCAGGAAGGCTGTCTCGGGGGAGCTACAGAGGAGCCACGTTTGCTCACCTGGTCGTTCCACTTTGGGTTCCTGAAATGCCATTTCAGACATGTCTAAACAACGTAGGCTCGGTGAACACGAAATTCCCTTGTGAATTGCAGAGCATGCTGACTTTGTACTTCTGAAGGCTTGAAATCCAGGTTCCACCACTTACTTGTGCTGTGCCTTTAGCCTAATTTTTCCGAGTCCTAGTTTTCTTATCTGTAAAATGGGGATGAATGCTACTTCACAGGGATTTGGCAGCTATTCAATGAGGTAGTAGATGAGAAAGCACTTTCGAAACTGTAAAGCTTTTTATTTAGGGTGGTACTATTTTTATGTTAGTGGTGTGATGGCCCGTTGCAGGATGTCTTTTTAAAAATGCTCAGTGAGCCGAAACCATTTTGGCTCAGTGGATAGAGCGTCGGCCTGGGGACTGAAAGGTCCCAGGTTCGATTCCTGTCAAGGGCATGTACCTTAAAAATGCTCAGTGAGTTTGTGATGTGATGTGAAATTTTCCCCCTAGATTTGATGAAAAAACGTGAAGGCTCCCTTTTCCTTTTATAGTTCTTACAAAGTTGTTGTAAATGCAAGAGGAGAGAATTGAATAGCTCTTTCTGGTAGAGTACTGCTAGGTCTGAGCTTCTCCATATTCTGCCACACCAACCAGGACTACAGAAGAGGAAACAGGTTCTAAGAGTGAAACAAAACTGCCCAAAGTGACACAGCGGGTAAGTCAACGAGTTGGGATTTGAAACCAGCTCCGAATGTCTCCGCAGCCAGAAGTCTTCCCCACGGCACAGTAATGATCAGCTTTGTTGTGTTAGCATGGGGTGTGTGGAGGAGGTAAACAGAAATCCCATCGCTCAACTGCTGCTTGGAACTCTCGGGGTGAGGCGGGGCGGGGGGGTGTGCTTGCCACTTATGGGGATGAAGTGATACATACGTTCCATAACCAGCCCCTTTGCCCATCAGGGGATGGGAGGGTTAGTTATGCCCCAAAGAGGTCCCTTCTGGGACGGAAAGGAAAACTTGCTGTTTTGAAGGGCCACGAGCAACATGGTGGGAGAAGGCCACTTTGCCTCAGCTGCTCCTGCCTTACAGCTGAAACCTGGGTTGGTACAGCCCGCCTGCACTCTTATGGGGTCTGAGTTGGGTAAAAAAACCTAAATTCCTGGACTGAGCCAGTGACCCTCATCACACCCTGGTAAGTAGGCAACACCTGCCACGTGGTCCTGGGCCTGGAGAGGTTTCTTGCTCAGGGTCCCATAACAAATCAGAACCCCAAACCCAGACTCCTGTCAGGCAAACTGTCCACTCCACCCCCACTGCCCCCATATCCCCAAACCCAGTTTAGAAGTAGCTTTTGGATAAAAACAGACTTGGATTACTGGGTCTCTTGTTGTAAAATTTAGAAATATATTTTTTATTATTATTTTTAATATACCGTATTTTATTGATTTTTAACAGAGAGGAAGGGAGAAAGAGAGAGAGAAAGAGCTAGAAACGTCGATGAGAGAGAAACATCGGCCGGCTGCCTCTTGCACACCCCCCACCAGGGATGTGCCCGCAACCAAGGTACATGCCCTTGACCAGAATCGAACCTGGGACCTTTCAGTCCACAGACCAACGCTTTACCGCTGAGCCAAACTGGCTTGGGCTCTTGTCTTAAAATTTAATTTTCCTTTTAGTTATTGCCAAGTCTCTTCCCATCCTTTTTTGTTGTTAATTCTCACCAAAGGGTATTTTCCCATGTTTTAGAGAGAGGAAGGGAAGGAGAGAGGCGGAAATATCGATATGAAAGAGACACATCAATTAGTTGCCTTCTACATGCACCCAGACCAGGGCCGAACCAAGCCTGCAACTGTGGTATGTACCCTTGACCATAATGGAACCCGAGACCCTTCAGTCCGTGGGTCAAACTGGCTAGGGCTATTCCCATCCTTAAAAAAAAAAAAAAAAAATATATATATATATATATATATATATATGTGTGTGTGTGTGTGTGTGTGTATATATATATATATTTTTTTTTTTAAGAGAAAGGGAGAAAGTATATAGATATAAATATCAATGATGAGAGAGAATCATTGATCGGCTGCCTCCACACCCCACCCTGGGGATCGAGCCTGCAACCCGGGGAAGGTGCTCTGACTGGGAATTAAACCATGACCTCCTGGTTCTTAAGTCGATGCTCACCCATTGAGCCACACCAGCCAGGCTTCCCATCCTTTTTTGAGGACATTTATCAAGAGACTAATGTGTAAGACTTCTCTCCCTTTACTAGACCTTGAGTGATTCCGGGCCCTCCATAAGACAGTAGACTCTTAGGTACAGGCACTGATGCCTGTTGTTTTATGTCTCTTAATCCTCGTGGTAACCTGGAGAAAGGATGGTATCACCCATTTCACAGGCAAGCAGACTGAAGCTGAGACATTTCAGTCGTGTATCTAAGCCCACACAGCTAACACCAGCTGCCTGACTGCCAGCTTCAGCTCCTTTGAGTCCCACTCTGCTGAGAAAGGAGAGGGGAAAAGCCATCTCCTGGGGGGAAGGGAGGGTGTTTCTGGAATGTGAAGTATTTTAAGCTCCTTCCTAGCTCGTTTCTACAGACTCCTACCTATCTTTGTCTGGAAATAGCCAGGATTTTATTCCTGAATTGAGGAGAATACACACCCATCTTGGGGAGGTGGGCGCGGACCATCGGGGGCAGCCAAGAAGCCACCCGTGGTGTAGAAAGGAAAGGCCGTCTTGTTAGACGTGAAAAGGTTAATGCATGTGCTTAACTCCTGCCTCTATTGGCAGCCCTCGGGGGCAGGGGACTGGGCAGGTGGACGGTGCTGAATGTGTCCCAAGTGCCCCTATGGTCAGGATGTTGCAGAAGATTCACTTTAGAAAGAAAAGGGGGAGGGGCATGTCTTCGTAGATCTGGAAGGAGGCAGGAGGGAGGGAGAGTGGAGAGGTTCCTTTCTAAGGATAAGGACCAGTTGG